GTGATTATTTCTAAACAGATCCATTGTGGAAATGTTTTGAATGTAAACACAACCATCGACGCTTGTTTTTTTTAGTTCAAATTCACAGAGGATCAAGAACTAAGGTGTTGTGTATATGTGTGTGTCGAGTGGACATTGTTACATGGTCCGCTGCGGGACAATTACAAATTGAGTGTTTTCTAACATGTCTTCTAAGAGGAGGTATCAGGAAGTTTTTCATGGTGTTATAAATTGAAATGACTTCATCTGAACATTGTCCCTGAGTACGTGGGGGTATGTCTGGCCAGGTCGTCTACAGCGCTGCAATTCTTTTTGAAGAGGTGTGTCCCTTACACCGTTGTGAGTTCGAATCCCAGATTCGATCTGATTACGTTTTCTTGGTATGCGCTCCTGGGTACGCCAAGGAAAACATTTATTACGGCACTCTGTGATAGAACTGAAATTCTGTTCAAAGCGTTGTCTCACCAAATACTATATGGGAGATACTCTTAACCTTAGAACCATATTATGAAAATTAGAATATAAAGAGTTTTATTAATAAATGCGATAAACACATTTTAATTGTCAAAGCAAATCACAGTGTTGATTGTAGGATTTCCGACTATATCTTGAGCATGTGTTTATGTTTCACCATCAAATATTGGTGAGATCAGTTGCTCGAGAAAAGTCGCATTAAAAGAGTTCTCATTTTGGTCAAATGTTCAAAAATATTCTGGGTAGCTTGGTGAAGAATTAATGATAATTTTATTCCCACATCACCCAAGCTTACATTAATAATTACAACCAAATACAATGAGGCCTCAACGTCTAGTTGGGGTTTGGACAAGAACTGCTTGGAATTGTAGATAGCCTTTAAAATGTGCAACTGGGTCCAAATTTAGTTTGCCATACTCAATGCTATTTAAAGTGTTGGTCGGTGGAGAGAAATAACACTCCTTTGTTGCTTAAACAGGGTGACTCATTTCACAGCTTTACAACATGACTAGTGATGCCAAATTACCCAGGAATTCGACAAGTAGAGGCCGTCTTAAAACCCTCTTACTTTCTTATTCAAATAGGCCATGACTTTAATTTTGTGATCCTGATATCAGCAGAAACTTCTTTGAAGAAGTCGCAATGTCCAGATCCTTCACGCCATAGAAGAGGCGGCTGAGCCTCCCATCATTGGAACATCTTCCTTTTAATTCCATAACACTGATGCAGGTGATAATTGTCCGGTGAAGTCGATTCCATGATCCCTGAAATCAGATTTCCAATAATTGCTGGAGGGTCACATGGCGTTATCTTTAATTAATCAGCCTTTAGGTAGCCGAAACCATCTCCAAGCCGCCAGTCCTTTTCAAATGAACAGTGCAAAACATTGATGGAATCAAGATAGATGCCAAAGAAATATTATCGCCCTAAAAGATTTATTTTCAGTAATCTCTGCCTGAGAATATACCTTACTGCAATGGTGGTGATTACAATATGAAGGGGCTGTCTCAAAGATTAGAAGATTTTAACTGGTTCGACGGTTACTTCGCGCAGCAAGACTGCCATACATGCATGTTGCACAGATGCGAAGGCAACTACACATGGAGAGATGTGTAGTCCTTGCCATGTGTCCTTGACGTTAGGTTTGGGGATAAACGCACAAGAACCTGCTGTGTTGATGGTATATTTAGGCGTGAGCCGTTTTCTTTCACAACATATGTCTAGCGGTGAATGTCTGATACTGAGGACCATTGACTGTTGTTGTTTTTGACATTGGTCTAGTAACAGACGACGAGAAATCGGGTAGGTCCTATCCAATAATCTGGACAAATGTCCGTAAATATAATGCTTTTTAAACTCAACAGTGTAAACATTGCCTGGTGTATTGAGAACACAGGCCACTAATCTTAATTCTCTATGTAGATCTGAGTTCCTTGTCGATGACACCGTGCCATCCATGTGAACTTGGGATTGAATCACAGATTCATCCTGATAATGGCCATTGGTATGTCAGCATCAGACCTGCGCAGCTGGGTTTCACAAATTCACAAAAGACTAAGACCTGTACCTAGTAAGGGGAATTCTAGTATACATTACACTCTTTATCAATTGTCTTTAAAATTCAGCTTCAGAGGGGGTAATGGGTTAGCCTAATGGTTAAAGCGTCCACTCGTCACGCTGAAGACCCGGGTTCGATTCCCCACATGGCTACAATGTGTGAAGCCCATTTCTGGTGTCCCCGCCCTGATATTGCTGGAATATTGATGAAAGCGGCGTGAAACTAAACCCACTCACTCAGCTTCAGAGCTTCTTTATGAAATGTACCATGGACTTCAGCCATGGACTTCCATGTTGTGTGAAGTGTAACAGTGTTGTTTTGGCAATATCCATACAATATCACCAAAATGGAGCTGCACACAAGTTGAATCGGGTGTAAAATCAAGCGCTGTAACTACTGCACTTCCCAACCATCCCTACATTACCTACATCGTATTTGCACGCAGCCACTTTGAACAGGTCAACACTGTACGAAACATCTTGCTTAAATGTTCATATTTCACCCAAACCCATAATTAAGTATGTAAAGCGATATCCTTTTATGAAATAAGATGCCTCTAAACCTAATTACACAGTTCGCCAGCTGTATGTTTCATCATACTTATTCAAGCGATTCAAATGATCAGTAAATTATTTGTAAAATATATTTTCTCCCAATGGTGTATGATAATTATAACAACGGACCATTCTACATTTCTGGTGTACACATTATCACTTGATTGTATCTGTTTCGATTCTGAGGCAAGAGAGGCCGATTGTACTTGTAGCAAGTGCCAGTGGATAGTGATAGAGAGTGTATGTCGAAGTCATGATTTGCTTTGCTTCTTCCATTCTCCACACAAGAACCTTTGAAAATGTTTACAGACACAGACATACACTCACATACAACACGCACGCACCCACCCACCCCACCGTAAACGTATAGGTTAACAGACAAATCAGCAAGAGATGGTGCACAATTGGTGTCCATGTGAATGATTACTGAGTGATAGAGTTCAAATGTAAAGTCACATAGGGAATGACTACTGAAGCTACCCGTAAAGATCCGGGTTGGTCTACAACAATGCATGCATTGTCATCCCTATTGGCTGATGAATGTCATCGTATGCCTATCCCGTAGATTGATGCTCATATTTGTCACTGGATGGCCTGGTCCAAACTTGATTATTTACAAACCATTGTCAGATAGCTTGAATATTGCTTAGTGCAAACAAGCAACAAACCTGCAGAAAATTGTAAACATTCTTTAACACGATCTATATTCCAGCGTTTCAAATACTAACAACGTATGGAAATTTCTATTCCCGAACTGACCTACATTTCTACTTGTACTTTCCGTAAAGCGACGAAACCATTTCCATAATATAACAAGTAATCTCTGTTAAAAGGACAGACCCCACTCCGATTCCGACAACATCATAGCAAGTGTATTTTAATAACGACCAGTTACCGGGTGTTCGCGAAACAGTGAGCGTATCGTTGCCCACCCGTGGCCTCTCAATAATGCAATGCGGTTGAACATAACACTTTTCACATGCATATTTGTATGATCTTGTGGTTTCTAAACATTTATGGGTTTAAGGTTTTACTATGTTTACACCGTCCATACTCTCTTTAACATACATCAGTTATACACTTGATAAAACCCCATGCTTAAAACCCACTATAGCAATTTTTTTATGAAGATTATTACTTTTCATATCTTCATATTTAATTCTCTGGCGAACAACCGCCTCCGTTGTGTAGTGGTTGGAGCGTCCGCCCGGAGAGCGGAAGGTCGCGGGTTCGATCCCCGACTGCGTCATACCAAAAGACGTTAAAATATGGTACTTGTTGGTCCCTGCCTGGCGCTCGGCATTAATGGGTACGACAAGGACTGGTCGGCTCGGAGTCAGTATACTGTGTCTGAGTGGGGTATTCATGCTTCACTGCGGCATGGTATCTCAGTGAGCTAGCACTATAAAACCAGCTTAAGTCTGGGCTAGTACAAGCAGGCGCACATACACATACACACGCATGCACGTCGTCATATGAGCGAGATATTCTCAAGCACGACGTTAAACCCAATTTCACCTCACCTCACCTCTCTGGCGAACCGTTTCGATTGATGAGTTAGCTTTCGTAAACTGCTTGCCTTTTAATGATGGACCCTGAAAGAATAACAAGATCTTTATGTCAAGCTTTCTCCTACCACTAGTTACGAATGTTAAGTCATCTTTCGTAACCTATTAGACCTTTAATTGGAGACCCTTAAACAATAATAAAATTCTGGTGTCCAGTCTTCATCCTATTAATGATCAGCTCGTTTCCTTAACTACTTCAATTCAATTGCTCATTTCAGTGTAGAGAGAACATTCGCATGCATATTCAATTGAACAGCATCTCTGTAATGACCATTACCCAACGTACGGATGTCAACGTCCATTGTTACGAACTAAACGAGCCAGTGGAAGAGTACTTAGTTTAGTAGACTAGCTTTCAAAACATATAATGAATCTAAATTTATCTTGCTAGGGGCCATGATACTGGCTGTAAGAAGACCACGTAAAGTTTCATTGACTCTTTGCTTGAGCTCGAAATTGATCGCAATCGACAAGGAAAATGAGAATTGTCACTTTAAATCCTGCCACTCCTGAGCTAAAAGCACTGCAGCCTCGTCGAAACTGCATTGTCGTGTTTTGTCACCGACAAAAAAGTTAGTCGATAATTCTTGCCTGGAAGGGAACACCTTTGCCTGACAATGTTTATATATAGAGGTCTGTGATAATAATGACTGCAGTCGGAATTGCAGTATGTACACTAGGCTCAAACAGTGTTCAACTGTCAAAGTCACTCAACCAAGTTCAGCCTCATATCGATTAGTTATTGTACATTTCTCATTGTACAACAAGCGATCTCGTCCGTTCAAGATCAGCACCATTGACATAAAAGTCCGATCTGAGGGAACCGGCCCGCCATTCCATCACACTCTCGGCTCGTCTGCATTGTCCGCGGAAAATTCAATTTACTAATGGGCTCTTGGGAACGGTAGGAGCTTTCATGCCGATGTGGAATTAACAATGCCAGCGAGCCCACGGTTTGGCGTGCTGGTATGACGACATTCCTTGCTTAGCAGAAGAACCCACATCCGACTAAATTATTCAAAAGTCAATCTTCATTCTGATTGGTCGTCTGCTCCGGCAGGTAGATCGTCTGCTCAAATACGTGTATGGCGAATGCGCTTGTTCGTAGTGGCAGCGACTTTTTGATCACTTTACTCTAGGTGTTTCCTACGGCCACAGGTGTGGAGGAAGCGAAAGACAAGTCTTTCTGAGGACCTTAATGTGAGGTGTGGCAAAATTGGAGAAAATATTACTTCCAACGGAGTGGAACAGATTGGTCTGGTTCCCTTAGAACCAAAAAAGACCAAGATGCCCTTCGGAAATTTTGAAAACCTGAAAGGAAAAGTCCTTCAACCCCCCAAGGATGCTGCCCATTTGGCGAAAATGTCCTTTCAGAGGTAAGTCAAAACCATACGAAGGTCAGGGTTCTTGAAACTTTTAAGTCGAAAACTTTTCAAAGTGTGTTGAAAAAGTTTGCGAGATTTGGACAGCTGACATTGGGAGCGTTCACATTTAACATAATTCAATTAACATAAAGTATTGTTAACCTGTATAGATGGCATAATGTCAAAGGAATTATACCATTGATGTGTGGTTAACTATCAGAACATATCCATCGCTGATACTATAACGGTTGACAAGGCGTAACGGTCCGATACACCCATGTATCATAAAATATGATATTTTGTCAAAGCCTTGCTGTGGATTTGTCGAGATGACTGCTAACTATTCAACATAAACAAAAGGTTATTAGTGCATATGAAGCATGCGGATTTTTGTGTATGTAACCGCGGGATTATTTAGTAAGGTTCTTCAGAACCCAGGTGTAACATTCTGCTACTGTAACACCTGCTCTCAAGAGTCAAAGACTCTATCTGACCTATTCAGAGAGTGTTTATCACACATGGCGCTTTGGTATTGTTGCTATAAGAAGCAACGTTGTCAGCAAGTCAAAACCTCAGAATCAAATACACTCCATGTACATTTATGCAAGCAGGTTCCCTAAAAAGACTGAATATGTAGATGGTATCTCTGTTCTGCTTTATCTGTTAATGTTATATATTCACACATAATGGATTTCAAATGCATTTATGGAAATCATGCTGCAGAACTTAATGATAAATACCAAGCAAGCGATAAGGATAATAACATTATACTTAAATTGTAAATGGGAGATATTTCAAATCAAGAATTTAACATCAATATTTCAAGACACAAATAACCCCTTGTTCTGTTTCATTTACACATTATACAAATATAATCAAGATATTTATCTGGAATACAGCTTTTATGAATTATACAAGACCGGTGCTTCAATTGCGAGACGTGGACAGTCGTAGTAGCGGATGATAGAACTAGAAACGAGAAGATGAGAAGATTTCTACCTACTTACACTCAGATAAAATGTCAATACCTGAACATACCATAACCATTGCCATGGCAACCGTGCTATATAAGCTAAACTTTCCGAAGCTATTAAATATAGAGAAGAATGCATTGTACTGTACAGGAAAGAAAGGAGCGGTTTTGGATGCCGTTTAGAATGTATTTCTTGTGTAATATCATTCAAAATATTCTACAAATGTCAAATGTGATTTGCAAGTCATAAGAAAGAAGCAATGTAATATATAATGTCAAAAACACGATTGAAAAGGCGCCTGTTTTTTTGTCCCTGTAGCACTGGTACATTTGATGCATGTGCGATAGAGAATGATGGCCGTATGTAAATTGTTCTGGGAAATAAATGACTATGAAATTATCATCTTCCAGCCATGGAATCCAGATGTGAACAGAGCAGCACAGAGACGTTTCAATTTCATCGGCAGTTTAATTTCACGACTCATCCACCACGCCAATATAGAAAGTCATTCATTCCCCGATTTAGCAACAACCGCCAGTTCAGAGTCGCACATGCCTACTGAATATCTTTCCTCATATCTGTTCCAGTGTGTGTTCAAATTAAATGCATTTTAGTCACTTTGTAATTAAAACAGACATAAACCCTTTCTACATCCTGAAATCTCTGCTAAAAGTAGAGTTGATTGGACGAATGCAACTTTACGAGCATGTGTTTATGAATCATGGGACCAGTGTAGGCACCAGGGGTTAAAACATGCAAATTATGTGCATGAATCTCTGAGTATCTGTAATGACAGCAGGTCCTCGCCAAAAGGGTAAATCCATGGTTTCTGCATGTTTTGTCTTTTGTTTGAATTCTTATGGAACCATACTAATTAATGTCACATTATTACATGGGATATAGAAGTAGTGGGATCACCTCACAATTTTCTGGGGTGACAGATATAGTACATGTGTGTACGCGAACAACAAATACAAAATATTTGCGGGAGTTGCAACAAGCTTCAGATCAACACATATACTGTGTAACTATCCATTGAGGCAGCATATAATAGTTAAGTTCACCGATTTTGATATACCATCATTAGACGAACGCCCGATGCTGGCCTGTATATGTGGGAATGTAACAAAGTAACCATGGTTTCATTTTCCCATGGGAAACCGTTTACTCCATGACAATGCAGCAACCGTGAAGCGGCTTTCATATGGAAACCCTATACAACACTGATAGAAACTGCAGTCGCGCTCTGATGTTCAAATAGTAATGATGCCTTGGAAAGCTCTGGCAGTGATGAATAATACATGTTGATTTCAACATCTACATCGTAGTTCATGTCTTATTCTGATATGAAGTTGTAGTGACAAAGTATTCTTTGTTTCGTTGGATATGTTTTATTGCCATAGATAACAAAAATACTTATAAATGTGGCATGAAAAGTCAGTTATGAAAGCTTGTGACGTCATTGTTTAATTCAAATGACGTCACGCTCAACTTTGCTATTCCATATCAGCCCACGGGATGTTTCATAAATACACTTATAGATTCTTTTTTCATGATTAAGCTAAAAAGACCGTAAACGTCATTTTAGAAACAATTATTATATTAAATGTTTTGAGATCGTGAACAGATAAATATTTAAATCACAATGTACATCGCGACTGATTCGTAATAATGCGACTATCTACATTTCATATTGAAGATCTATATAGCAATCGTTTCATTACGTATGTCATTTTGGATGTCCTTTACCCCAAATGTTGAATGTTTCAAAGGGTCGATAACATACGGTAGAGGTGTGCAATCATTAGCACTGCCATTCAAAGCAGTCTCAATAGACATGTTGATTTCACCACTCTCCTAACGGTTAACATGCTCTCTTAAAGTCGTCATTTAATACCCTGGTGGACCATGCAGTAATTAAGCATTGTTTGTGTGTGGAGCCTGTAAATCCCCATGGTTAAGTTATCTGTTGCCATGAGGTCGTGTCACTGCTTGAAAAACACAAAATATGTGAACTTGGTGAAACTGAATGAGGCATGGACATGCTGTTGCCATGAGGTCATGTCACTGCTTGAAAAACACAAAATATGTGAACTTGGTGAAACTGAATGAGGCATGGAGCTGAGATCACGTAGCTGCATATACAATTTAAAATCTATAAATTGTTGAAATAACAACATTACTTCATTCCATAAAACCATAGTTATTACTTACTCTGTCCTTTCAGTGACTTGCCCCCATATAGTCTAATAGACTTTATCTCTATATGTGTAGGCTGGATCCTTAAGTTTCAGGAAACGTAGGATATGGAACCGAAACCCAGTGTCAAGACCCTCGGTCTGTCAACGTCACATCCGTGTCCGTATCTTCATCAAAGATATAGATGTTCCTGGCGCGGTTTAATATACTCATAATAACCTTTGAATAGCCTTCTCCTATCTCAGTTTATTATTAAATTTCCTTTCTCAGTTATGAATAAAACCAGATAACTGTCTTGCATTGGTAGATTAATTAAATGCTCTACATAGGGTTACAGGTATGTTCAGAACGAAATATACTACAAAATAATACAAAAACAATATCTAAATTAAGCCATTTCATAAAAGTGGTTTTCCACTATTGGATTCAAATATGAAATATTAGATACTTCGAAATAACATCTGAGAATCAATTGTGGTGGCATGAATGACTTGGAAAGATCGGCGTATGCAAACAATTCATAAAAGAAAATATATTGGTGAGAGAGTGCGTAATAATCCAGGAACATCACACAGAGTATAAATATGTGTATATATTCATGTGTTCGTGCGTGTGCGTGTGCGTGTGCGTGTGCGTGTGCGTGTGTGTATATGTACTGTACTTGAATTGGATTGCAAATCGCTAGTACACAACAAATTTTAAATCCACATTATTGCTATAAATGTCGTAATTATACTGATGGCAAACACGCCAGTCTCGATGTTAACCATGTTTAACCTAACCATACATTTATGTTCCTTGATAACGGTAAAAGTATGCAGCTAGGGTAAATATCCCCATCTTTCACAATTACTCTAACACTTAATATTTGTGCAAGACAACAACGTGTAATTTTCCAGAAAATATGACAGTATTATCATGCCTTCGGTTGTCACAAAAATAAATACCTTACTTATATCTGACAAAGGACGCTCTGTAAATTACACTGTGACTGACATGCAAAAAATGTATGTTTCAGGCATATGAGTCTGGCACTAAGTGGCAGTAGTGGGGTCTCTGTGTCATTATATAATGAATACAGTAACGCCCCGGACAGATCGCTTATCGTATATGGCTTGTTAACACATGCTATAGTGATGGACTTTGCACAACGTAGTGACCCTCGATAAGGGACCTAGAAGACGTCAGGGATAGAGGAACCTGCTTTCACCAGCTGTTGCAGGATTGGTCTTGCAATGTAATGGTCAGTTACAGAGATCAGCTAAACAAGTGAAACATCCTAAACATGGCACTTTTATTGGCAGTACCCATTCAAGAACCGTCAGTCACACGATGGCCGGCAAAACGAGCTGATGTACTGGACGTGTCACCAGGGTCCTCGATGAATGTAAAACACTGTATACCGTTTCGTGAATTAAATGGTGCGGGATACGCAATTCCCTGAACTTCATTGGTATCATGCCAGTTTCTTATTGATATGTGTCAGTACCATTTCATGTGAAAATCCTCTACACATTGCTTTTATCCCTTTTTGATAAATACACTGCCTTGGACTTCCACTTTAAACAGTTACTGTGTTAATCACATCCATGCCATTGCGACTGTTTGTTACGCTCCCTCTAACAATGTTAAATGTATCCTATTCAGTTTTCATTTGTTCTGCTGTGTGACCATGTTTGTTCTGCAATGTCCCTGTTTTGCTGCCACAGTGTATCTGTTACTATGTCGACAGGAAACCAGTTCTGAAACTTCTTAGATTTAACTCATCCATGAATTTTTAAAATGTTTCCATGGAAACCGCAAATAGCGTCAGCCGGAGCTGATAATAGAATTATGGTC